AATTTGATATTCAGCCAAATTAATTTACTTGTACGATTTTAAATAACTTTGATGTTTGAACCAAAATTGATTGACTGATATCTCTTTTTATGTAACTTTAATAATTGAACCATAAATAAAATTTGATATTTTACCGATTATAAACTATGGAATTACACCTTAATGCTCTTTTTCTGTGTCCCTAAGACACAACTATTTATTAAAAACGGTAAATATACCTTGTTTTAATCATTTTAAATCAATAAAACATACTCTTTTATGTTAAGAAATTTATTGGGCTTTAAAATGGTTTCATGAAAATGTGTTTTTGAGTGGTGATTTAACACAATATCCAGGATTTTTATTTAATCACCCTTAATCAAAATTTAAAATAATCAGAAATTCCATGTTTACAATTTTCGATGGGCTTTTAAGACAAATAAATGTTCCGTGTATGTATTTAATTATTTTTTATTTATATTATATAAATTTTAAGGACTTTGAAAAAACAGGAAAAAATACTTCCAAGACGATATTTTGGAATAAAGTACTTCGTATCAGAAAATTTTGGATGAAATAACACTGAATGGCTTCTTTTAACAATCAGAGCACGGTTTTGGGAAGCATAAGACAAGAATGCAACTTATATTCTTTTTTTTGTTGTTTTTGTTGTTTTACAGTAAGTTAACATGCTAAAAAGCCAATGCAGTCCATAGATTCATACCGGTATAACAGCAACAATTAATATGCAAATTTTCCAGGGGAAAAAGCAATTTGATCCTGCGCTTTTTTAGGTCACCTGAGTTAACTCAGGTGACCTATTGCTATCCGTTTTCGTCCGTCGTCGTCCGTCGTCCATCGTGTGTTAACATTTGAACATTTTCAGCTTCTTCTCTGCAACCACTGAACCAATTTCAACCAAATTTGGCACAAAGCATCTATGGAAGAAGGGGAACAAAAATTGTGAATTTCATGATCCCTGCCCCCCTGGGGCCTGACGGGTGGGGCCTAAACAACTAAAATTAATGCAATCTTTAAAAATCTTCTTCTTTACTCCTGGACATCAAGCAGTCAAACTGTTTGCATGATTGTAATTAGCATTAAGTCCTCTACCTGAATTGTGAAATTCATGGCCCTGGGGTCAGGGGTTCTAGTGCTAGGGCGGGGCTAAATAAGTATATAGTGAAAATGCATTATTTCTTTGAAAATCTTCTTCTCTGCTCCTGGGTATTAAATAAACCAACTAAGTACATAGTTATGATGAGCAAGAGTGCCTCTACCAAAATTGAATTTTATGGCCCCAGGGTCAGGGGTTCTGGTGTTAGGGTTGGGCTCTATTGATTATATATAGTGAAAATACATGATTTCTTTGAAAATCTTCTTCTCTGCCCCTAGGTATTAAATAAACTAACTAAGTACATAGTTATGATGAGCAAGAGTGCCTCTACCAAAATTGTGAATTTTATGGCCCCAGGGTCAAGGGTTCTGGTGTTGGGGGGGGGGGGCTCTATTGATTATGTAGTGAAAATACATGAATTCTTTGAAAATCTTCTTCTCTGCTCCTAAATATTGAATAAACTAACTAAGTGCATAGTTATGATGAGCAAGAGTGCCTAAACCAAAATTGTGAATTTCATGGCCCCAGGGTCAAGGTTTCTGGTGTTTGGGGGGGGGGGCTTCATTGATTATATATTGAAAATACATGAATTCTTTGAAAATCTTCTTCTCTGCTCCTAGGTATTAAATAAACTAACTCAGTGCATTGTTATGATGAGCAAGAGTGCCTCAACCAAAATTGTGAATTTTATGGCCCCAGGGTCAAGGGTTCTGGTGTGGGGGGGAGGGGGCTCTATTGATTATGTAGTGAAAATACATGAATTCTTTGAAAATCTTCTTCTCTGCTCCTAGGTATTGAATAAACTAAATAAGTGCATAGTTATGATAAGCAAGAGTGCCTCAACCAAAATTGTGAATTTTATGGTCCCAGGGTCAGGGGTTCTGGTGTTAGGACAGGGCTCGTTTGATTATATATTGAAAATACATGAATTCTTTGAAAATCTTCTTCTCTGTTCCTAGGAATTGAATATACTAACTCAGTGCATAGTTATGATGAGCAAGAATGCCTCTTCTAAAATTGTGAATTTTATGGCCCCAGGGTCAGGGATAGGGCGGGGCTTTATTGATTATATAGTGAAAATACATTAAATCTTTGAAAATTTTCTTCTCTGTCTCTGGGTATGAAGCAGATGAACTACCTATATAGTTATGATGAGCAAGGGCCCTAATCTTGCAGAATTGTGAATTTCAAGGCCCCAGGGTCAAGGATGGGGGGTGGGGGGCTCTCAGACTTATATACTGAAAATGAATTAATTGTTTGAAATCTGCTCCTTTGTATTTATAAAACATTTATTTATTTTTTGATAGGCAATTTTAAGGGTGCCTTTTTAAAATTTGTGTAATGTGTGGACCTAGGGTCAGGGGTTTATGTCACAGTGTTAGGGGCACTACTGATTATTGTTGAATATTACTGATTAGTTGGAATGCATTTTTGTTCCCCTACCCTGCGTACGGGTATTCAGTAACCAAGCTAAGCAACTGCGTCTATTGTTATGATGATCAATGGTGCCTCTTTCAAAATTGTGAATGCCATATAGCATCTGGCTTAAAACAGGAATCAAATTCAATAACTGGAAAGTTGTTGCATAATGCTCAGGTGATCTATAAGGCCCGTGGGCCTCTTGTTTTAAATTAAAGAACCTGAACGAAAATTTCAAAATGTACTTTGCAGCCTACATGAATATACCAACCAATAGTTTTATGTTAAAATATTGACATCCACAGAGAAACCAAATACTTGTCATATACTAGTTAGGTACTGGAAAAACACATTTTGCAAACTTAAGTAAATACAGTTTTTTCAAACATTTTTTTCCAAATATAGAAATACATAGATACAACGATTTATTGTTATACAATGTGAAAATATAAGTTAAAACCAGAGGTTCCGACCTACCCGTAGTTTGTTCCTTCAAGGTTTAATCCAGGATGTACATTTATTGAGAACACAGCTATATAATAACTGTCTCTATGGATATCTATATGTTATGTATTCAAAAAAGATTTTAGTAAAAGAATAATAACCAACAAATGCTTCAATTTGACAAATATCAGTAAAATAAACTTTGCAAAAAAAAAAAAATAAATAAATAAAATAAATAAATCAATAAATAAATATATATGTGGCAACAATATATCAACTTAGTAAAGTTAGAACTCGATTCAAATAAACATGCATTGATATTCTGTTATGATGTACTGAAACTTGCAGCAAAAGGCATGCAATTTTTAATTTCAATTTGATTTTTATTTGATTTTCAACATTTATCTAAAATAACCTTTTCAATATTTTTTCATGACCTGATAGCATGAAACGATATACTCATAGCCGTTGGTAATGACTGCATGGCTACTAGTTAAAAAAAAACGTGTTCCTCATCACAAACCTTACAATTTGCAATGCTTCAGAAATCAAAATATTTAGTTCCTTTTATGACCAACAGGTATTATGAACTTCTCTGATCACGCTTGTCTCTGAAATTTATATCGACCCATTATGACAAAGCTAAGTTGACGTATTGTAATAATTGATTAATTGATGCATTACCCCCGATAACCGTGATTTTAAAATATGTCATCTTTTAAAAAAGACTACCTTGTTGCAACACCTGACATTTAATTTGAACAGAACGACCCAAGTTATTGAATATTAGTAAGGTGTTAACCATGTTGACAGGGTATTACGATCACTGGAATTATTATATGAAATGACTGTGTTAAAGATTTGAGTGAATTTGAACTGAAGATGATAATTATATTTGTTTTCATCTCCGTCTTTGGCTTAGCGGGTATGTATTTAAAACTTATTAAATTTGACTCAGACATCAGTATTTGTAAATTTGAAACAAAAGTGAAAAATATATATAAATTGCAAAAGAGGAATAATAGATAATTTTAATATTTGTTTAAAACCAACCTTCTGTAGCAATCTGTAATCATGAATAATTTTATTTTATTGCACATTTTAATCTTAATGTCAAATTCAGATAATTATGATATAATTTAGCAATAATGACTAGATTTGAATTCTAGGAAATGAACTGAAACGATATTTTGTTTTAAATAACATAACATTCCGTATTTAGGTAAGGTTGGTAAGCAAACTAATTATATATATGTAAATGGCACTATTGCATAAAGGATTTCAAACATCTTTAAGATATTGAAAAAGGAATCAAAGCTTTGATGAGAACAAAACAGTGCTTGAAACTTAAAAGTTTTTATTATTATATATAATTAAAATAGCATTCGATAAATTTACTTCAGTAAAATTATTTTCAGAAAATCTATTACAGATTTAGATATTTGTGGAAAAATCGACAATTTTGTTTTCGTGATGTGAAAAATTTTGAACAAAAAGTTTTAAAACCTAACAAGTCAAGAGGATACACCCGGAATTCCTTAAAGAATTGCGTTATTATCACAGAGAACTACACAAAACAAGAACACAGAACAAATATGCAGGAAAAGATTACATTATGTAATTGTAATCTCTCTTCTGTTTACGACGTTAAGAATTGATAACAGAACGATGGGCAATGAACCGAAATGTGGATATAGCGATAAAAAAGTTTAAACTACAAACGAAAATTAAGGCCTGTGCTGAAACGGATAAGGACTTTTAATAAATTTGAATACCTTTCATACCTTTTGTCTTTAAATGAAGAGATCTTTACTATATTGGCTTATAACTTCCTTTTACTCAAGTTATCAGCAATTATTTTGAGGAATTAAAGAACGACCAATGAAGAATGTCTTTAACAAAATATCACAATAAAGTCGAGGTGCCTATTTTCAGTAGCCATTTCAAGAAATAAATGTTGTTGACTAAAATCTTCAGTTTTGTTCAGTTTTCACAGAAGAATTATATCTTAATAAATTTGAAATGTCCCCAAAATGACATTATGATTTACCTTACAGATTCATGGTGCCGTCCAAATGAACGAGCAGATATTGTGTTCATTATGGAGGAATCTTATAGCACAGGAGAGATGATAGTCCCAAGTGAGTGGAACTATCAGAAAGAAATGCTGGCTAAATTTGTGAATGAAATGTACATAGATCCTGACAACGGAATCCGTGTGGGGGCAGTAACTTACAACACAGGAGCAAAGGTACGCTTCAACCTTGTGGAATACACAACCAAATCAGACATTATGAACGGCATCTTGGGCATTCCAACAGACAGAAGAAAGACAATGTATGAAAATGACACTGACTACTCAGAAAAAGGTCTAGACAAAGCTTTTGTTTCTGTATTTTTGCCAGGTGAAGGAGATAGACCAGACGCCCCTAACTACTATATATACACAAGTGATTATATATTTCCCGATGATGACCCGTATAGTAAGGGACTTGATATCAGGGTGGATGGAGATAATTATATTTGGGCGATTGGTGTCAAGTTAGCGCAAACCCAAAGTATACTTTCACAGTCCGTGGGATCGGATGGAAAATATTACACTGGATCCAGCTTTCAGGCTCTGAACACGGTTGAGCATGCTCAGAAATTGTGGGAGTTATTTAGCGGATGTCCACTTGTTGATCCAGCCATTGGAAAATATTGTAAGTGAGAAAATTAACGAGGGCATTGTAGGGCATATATACACCTGTAAACTTTCGTGAACAGTGACATATAGTGTAGATCGATTTATTGATTTCTCTTTCTTTTTCTTTATATTGCACAAACTTATCCTTAGAATAGAATGGTAAACTAGTGCCTATGACATTTAAAAAAAGAAGAGAATTAATAGTTACGAAGTATATGGAGTGAAACATATGGAGATAACGAACAGTATTCAAGACATAAAACTCCATAAACAATACAAAATAGGAGCAGAGCAAACATGGACCCCCAAAACATCAGAGGTGCCAAGGGGGGAGTGAGCATCCCTTGCCGACCGGTCACACCCGCGTGTGCTCCTTGTCACGACCGGGAAATGGAAAAATCCGTCGACAAATGAGTTTGTCTATTATGGTCTTACAATTAGTATGAAAAACGTCAGTCGGCATTTTATTTTAATGATAAATTGTATCTGCGACAATGCAATTGTATCGATCATAGAATTTAACAAATGATGATTTTAAACGAGACTGCTGATATTCTTGTTTCATAAACTTGTTTGTCAATAGTTTACCCCGTTTTAAAAAGTGTTCATACATAGAACATAGTCTTTCGTATCGAATCAACTAAGAGATATAAACACCGTATGCAGGTGGTGAAGGTGTATTGCTGCATAAAATAAGTAAGGGAATAACGATTGAAAAGTCATCTCGTTTGTCATAAAGCTTGGTTGTAGATAATTATCAACGTCTTTTTCAAGTCAAATATCTAAATAAATATGAAGCAGATGAACTCATCGGGATATATCATATCGATATAAGAATTGAAATAACCATCTTTAATTAACAATACGTCGTTGATATACCTAAATGTCGAGTTGATTCATTATACTTTGAAAGCTGCTATAATCCGACACTTGTGCAATTCGTAATAAGTGCATTCCGACCTTAAATTTATTTTCAATTTTACTATTTTCCATGTTCTTTACACTGTGCAATTCCATACCCTCTCTATCCCGAATCAAAATTCTTCTCCTACTGTATCTCGGATTAGATAGGTTTCACTGTATATTTACTTTCATTTATTTTCGTTTTTTTAATATACACCAAACATTTTTTTTTTTCCTTAATCAAAACATAATAAAATGATACTCTCAGAAACATCATTTTACACTAGTTATGAAACATATGGAGATAACGAATAATATTCAAGATCAAAAGTCCATAAAACAGTACAAAATAGGAGCAGAGCAAACAAGGAGCTCCAACACAACAGAGATGGGATCAGGTGCCATGGAGGAGTGAACAACCCCTATCGCTGGTCACACCCGCCGTGTGCTCCTTGTCATGAACGGGAATAACGGAAAAATCTGTCGTCAGTTTAGTGTATTAATAATGGACTAACAATTAGTAAGAAAAACGTCAGTCAGCAATTGACTCAATGATAAATTGTATTTGCTGACAAGGTCCTAGCTTGTGTCGACCATAGAACTTACGAAATGATGAGTTAAACGAGACCTCTGAAACTCTTGTTTCATCAACTTGTTTGTCAATAATTTACCTGAACCATGCAATTTACCTCGTTTTAGAAATTGTTCATACGTAGAGCATGTTTTTGCGTATCGATTCAACTGAGATATATAAACTCCGTATGGAGGTGATGAAGGTATATTGCTTCAAATGACACAGAGAAGGCTCATTTTTTATTCATTTGATATTATTCTTTTAATATTTCAGATTGTTTTTCGGTGCCACTTTTATACTTTGAGGATCCGGCTGTTGCTACACCGACTACAGAGACGTGCGAAGAGGACGAAGGTCAGACAGCTAATCTTAATTAACTATTAATTACTTGAAATCTTAATTAATTATAAATAACATATAATCTTATTCATATTTGTTAACAGTTTTTTTACATTCAATTACAAAGAAAAGTTTTTGGGTTTTGGTCTTTTTTGTACGGTTAAAACACCAATTCATTTTATAAATCTAAATAATACGAGGGCTGTTCAATAAATAACGTCCTCGGTGCTTGGAAAGAAACAGAAAACGCTTTTCAATAATTTAGTCTTAATGATATCCCTTGGATATTCTCTTTTAATTAAAATACATGTCCATAACATTTTTATCCAATTTCTGATTACTTTTAGAACACATTTTTGAGTATGGCCCTTCGTATATTGGAATATGACAGATCCTATGATTTCCTGTACTTGTTTCTTCTTTCTAACAGGTGTTTTTTTCAAGTTTGGAAAATTAAACAAGTCAAAGGGGGAAAGGTCTGGCGAATAGTGTTGGTGTGAAAAAAAAAATTACTAGTAACTTTTTGTTATCCCCAAAACTCCTTTACTCTTCATGGCGTGTGGGTTTGGACGCTTTCATGAAGAAAGATTTTAATGTAGTGGATTCCTGATTCTGGTTCCTTCCTCTCATAAACCTTTCGATCTTTTTGCAAAAATATTGAATTCTAGACTTCTCCAGAAATTGAACTGCCTCCCCGAATAAGAATTTGAACAACATGACCACTAATATCTAAGAAAATGGCATATAAAATAGTCTTTGTTCTCTTGCAATTCTTTGCTCTTCTAAGACCTTTGCTGTTTTTGTCAAGTACATCTTATTGTAAATTTGTTTTGAGGATTTAAAGCAATGGATTCAAGTTTCATTATCTATTTGAATTTCAGACAAACGTGGATAACTAATTTTTGATTTTTTAAAATAATGGTTTAGATATTCTTACACGCTGTCGTTTTCATTCATTTTTCAAAACAAATTGTGACCATTTAGTACTAAGCCTTTTTACTGTCAAATGTTTCTTTAAAACGGTGTGAACTTTCCCCAAAATGATGCCTGTCAAATCTGCGATGTGTCTTAAAGTCAATCAAACGTCATCAGTGATAATTTGTTGACTTTTGGCAAACAATACATTGGTTGTTGTACGTCCTTGTCGCCAAGGACGGTACCCAAATTTGATGCCCATTATATCATTTTTGTTCATTGAAATCCACCTATTCATGTATCTTTAAAACATTAGTTGCTGTAAAATTCCACATATTTCATTGAATATTCCTTTTGGGATTCTTATCAAGTTTTACAGCAACTTTACCGAGGCGTTTAATTTCACTCTAGTTTACTGATTCTTTACCATTCATTTTTAATGCAGTGTCTCGAATAGCCCTTGCTTTCCAGCTTCTCACAATAAAACTACACATGTGTGATGAAAAGTGGTCACACAAATTACCATCAATTCCTTAAAGATTCAGTATTAGAGAAAGACAAGATTAATGTCATATGATTTCTATGTTGTATGTCAAAGAGGTCAGGGCATTATTTATTGAACAGCCAGTAAAGTACTCGCGAATATATAGCTGGATAAATATTACAAAAAAACTTGAAATCAAGATATACAACCACTCCAAAACAAGTAATGAAACAGAGGAAAAGACCTAGCATTGATGTGGATGATTTTCATCATTCCTGTGTTTAGTTTTTAACACCATGAAGAACTTTTATAATTGTTGCTTAACTCTATACTTATTTCCTTTATATTGTACATTACTACATGTAAGTTCATTGGGAAAAACTGGTCCAATAGACAGTACTTGTTAGAGACCGGTTTTTCCCCAATCAACGTTCTTTATTTTATATTTGAATTGTCAAGAGACACATGACAAGGCTTGTGTCTATGGCCAAATAAGAATAAGGAAAGAGATTTATAATTCTAGATAAAGCGATTAAGTTCGAGCACTGGCTATTATATCGTTGCCTTTACAGGGATGATGTTCCTGCTACAGGACCCCTTATTTGAGATAAATTGTTGTGGAATAATATCAGCCTGGGAGTTTTATCCTTGTAAAGCAGGAATCGTCCAGTTTATGGTTTGGTCCCTTAAATCAGGAACAACATATGAACTCAAAGCTATACAGGAAGTGGAGGTTTTAGGTGAGTGAAAATAAGATTTGTAGAATGGAGGAACTTTTTATGCAAAATTCTGCATTAAGTATTTTCAAAATCTTACTGATTGTTTTAATATTGATTTTGCAAAGAGGTATTCATTATTTGTTGTTCAAATCTTGAGCACGTAGTACTCAATATAACATTTGAAAACATACACGTAGATTGTCATTCTGACTTTGATAAACGCATTCCACGACTTCTTCTGTTTTAGATACCGATCTTGGAAAATCTTTGAATTACACTGTTCCTGAAGAAGAACGCATTGCGATAGTGGCAGGGGATAGGATCGGATGGCATGTTTTTTTCACATTTTTTTTTCACAAAGATTTTTAACATACAAGTACTAATTTAAGATGAAAGTTTGTGTATGACTTAACAATATAGTACAATTCTTATAATTAATCATCATTTTATTTTACAGGCGCTCGAAAACGAAGAACATCATATCGTACCAGGCCTGTGATTATTTGACCGATAGATACTGCCCACAGAACACATATAGAACACAGCTCATTGAAGACCCTTATGAATACATGCAATTTGATTGGTCAGAACAGTTTCCAAATTCAACGGCAGTCGAAAAATTAATAAATCGTGGATACACTCTCAAAATCTACGCTAATAATAGTAAGAAACATATATAGTGGCTTTATTTTAATAAATTTCATAAAAAAAATTCAAACGCAGCATATTCCAGTCATCAGATTATGATATACACGGTTGAAGAAAAAAGTTTGCGAACATAGTGATTTACAGAGAAAAATATATTTTAGTTTGAAGAATGGTATATGCTTGAGCAAATTGTTATCCATGATTTTTAAGTATGCAGAAAAGGTTCATTTGCTAACATTTTGAAAATATGAAAAAAACAAAAAACTTACTTTGCGGGTATAGGATACGAGGAACAACCCCGCGATATGCGGGATATTGCACGAAATGATATTGTTCGTAGTTCAACACGTTTAACATCGTTGAATACAAATATCTTGACTTTTTTAAAGCATCATCTTTATATGATTGAATAAATAATTTAAACTGCTATTGACGTTTATAAGTAGTGCTAGAATGGTACAGTTTATAATTTAAAACGTTCAGTATAAAAAATTCTGTATGTAAATATTTATCTGTGGAAGAATCATCATATAAAAATTAACACGTATTAAACAATAATAATGGCAATTATAGCTTATTGTTCCTTTCATTACTTATTTTCGTTTCATTAAAAACGGTTTTAAGTAGTGCTGTGCGATATTACCGGTTAACCGGTGTATCCCGATTTTTTTCTTCACAATACGTATCGCGGTATTTTTTTGTGAATACCGGTTGGGGTTCGATATGCTATAAATTGTTATAAAAAGAGTTATTTGCCCTTTTCAAGGTAAAATATGGCGGCAAGCGACGTGAAGTGTGGTCAGAAACGAGAGACATATCTCTGTCGGAAACGAAGAGACAACTGTTACATGAAAGCCCTTCATGTTAAAGCCTAATCTGAATATTACAACTTTATTTGTCAAGTTGTGCCACAAAAAACTTGGCTTGCCACTTGCGCCGACACAACGCGACTAGGAGGTTGCAATATCAACTCGAAAAACATGTAATTTGAGTTTGTGTTTTCATTTGACATTGACAAAAAGCAAAATTTATTTTAAAAAATTATATTGTGATATATTGCAATACAAAATATAATATTGCAATATATCGCGATACGATTTTTCAGTCGCGATACCCAGCTCTAGTTTTAAGTAAATTATTCAGAATTTAATCAGAGAATTTTTTATAAAATGTTTGTAGATACGGTGATCTCTTTCGAGGAATCATTTTACCTGACATCAGCGGCTGACCATTGGCCGATAGGAACCAGTTTCGCTTCCTTTGCTGTCCTGGGACAGGACTACAAGGAGAACGTGACATATTCCTGGGTCTCCAAGAACAATTACATAGATCTGAATGAATCATTCAGTATGATCTTCCTTAAATATTTTTTAAACTCATACAAATATGAACTTAAATTTATGTGAGGGGAAATGTTTTCCTTCATGCGACTATAAGGTTGCAAATAGTAAAGATTAGGAAAAATGATAACGATGACCTCTTACATGTATCGGTGTAGTGTTTACAAATGCTTTGTTTGATTTGACAGAATCTGCGACTAAAACTAAAAGAATTTTTTTTTCAACACAAAAGTAAATCTGCGTACATCTTTTTTACTTTAGGTTTTACACAGGTAGGGAAACAGCTGGAACCTTCGGAGAGTCCTCAAGGAATGGCCGGGTACCTAGCAACCTTGAGAGTGGTTGATACTTGCAGAAATACTGCCACAACCACCTTTAGTGTGGAAACTTTCAATGGCGTAAGTTAATCTCAGAAAGATTATCGCCTACATATGGTAATGTATAGGCAGGGGATGCTCACGCCCCTATGGCACCTGATTCCAACTCTGAGGCCCTTTTATACTCTACTCCCAACTTGTGTTGTATTAATGGACTTTGAGCATAAATGCAGTCCTTTATCTTTTTATATTTCCATTTCCAATTGTTTTCTCTATGATAAACACTACAAAAGTGAATCTTGTTAATTTCATGGTAATACCCTGTGGTATGTATATTTCTCTATTACTGAAAGGTCAGGTGTCAACCTGCATGTATATCACTGGCGTATAAATCTGCTAAAGAAAAAATAGATGTTTTGTTTAATTGTTTACTACGTAATTTGATATGATATATCTTTTTAACAAACAAAATAAATAATGAATTATCTTCGGCTCGAAAGCAAGTCACTAGCGCAACGCTGTCCACTATCACCGAGGCCTCGCGAGACCGAGAACTCCACTTCCTGGTAAACAGCCACGTGGAGAAATTGACATTGCCACATGGATCTGCACGTACTCCATCATCTGATACTGACATCGTCCCTTAGTCATTACCACCCAACTTCTTACGCAACTCAACTTCTTCTGTTATTTTAACATCCATACAAATCGGTTTCCTGACCATGCTGACCAACTCCCGTTTCATCAACTGCAACATTGCATTCAATATGGCGGCGGAGAAGTGACATAGTGCTTATACCGTATAGCGGGTTATTTTAGCGGGGTGCTAATTTTAGCTTATTTTGGCGTTTTGATGATAGCCCGCTAAAATTTTAATCGCTAAAAATAGTCAATACTCATCTAAGTGTTAATCTGCAAACCGCTGAAACTCTGTGTCAGCTAAAATAAATACGCCAAAATTATTGGCATACGTTTGAGCTCGCATAACGCCAAATTTTACACCCGCCAAGAAAACCCGCTATACGGTATATGTTCGTGCTTCCGACAACCTAAATCTAGGTCACATATATAATTAAAGTTAACAAGATCACTTTGATCATAATTTAAAATTCTTTTGTTGTTTATTTGATAAATGTTGATATTTGACTACGGTAACTAAATAATCAATAAATTTGTTTCGTGTTTTTTGGGACTATTTTTTTTTTATAGTAAAATTTGACGTCATGGGGCCTTGTGCATTTCAAATCTACTCAATTAGACGGTATTTCGATTTATTTTAAGATGGTTATTTCAAGTAAAAATGGAAATATAAGGAATCACTGTCTAGTTTTGAGAGTATGCCAGGGACATCAACAATAGTGGGAAACATGGGATAATTTTAGCATAACGGGCGAAGCCCGTTATGCTTAAATTACCCCCATGTTTCCCACTATTGTTGATGTCCCTGACATACTCTCAAAACTAGACAGTGATTCCTTAATTAAATGAAATGTTATGTGTGGGGTTTTAAAAAAATTGTTTAATTAGTGTATATAATTTCCAAAATAAGAATAAAAATTTAACCTTTTTTATATCAATGAGATGGTCCACTTATTGTTTTTTATACTGAATTGATACGAGAACAAAAATGATTAAGTGGATTTATTAAGCTTGAATTAGTATTTGCAAATAAATATCGTATAAATGTTTTATAATACCCCGGTAAAATATTTTTACCACATGGGCTCAAAAAATGTTTGAAATAAAAGAATATTTGTTGATATTTCAGCCACCGATTATAACGAATTTTCCAAGAGAAATATCAGTGCTGGAAACTCAGGGAGGAAGTGCCGAGGTTTATAAGGTGGCAGTGTTTGACCCCACGGTGCCGCCTGACCCTGTATGTTGTACACTGGAAAGTGTCCGACCTCAGACAGCTAATTTTGAAATTAAACTTATCAATGGGACGCAGTTTATATTATTTACACAAGAAAAACCTATATTTGCCTATAGGGACGTTAATTCTTATATGTTAACTGTGTGTTGTGAGGACGGATATGGCACGGTGAAGGGAATTCTGAAGATTGACGTGTTAGAGGTCAAAGAAAATGAAATATATACACCTCCTTGTAAGTAAAATCAAATTTCTAAATACTTGTATGTCAAGGTGTCATATCTAAGAATTCAAGTACGTTATGCAAAATATTGAAATTAACATCAATTTGATAAAACTAATTATTTAAGTATTGATGAGGAACATTTAACAATAATTATAATGTAAAATGGTCAGTGTTGGTACATGATTTGATCGCTTCACATCATAATTCTGACAAACGAATGACACAATTTTCTTGAAAAGGACATTTCTTTCAGAAAGAGATATACATGTAAATCTTCAAGGCACATGCATATTTTTAACATCAAGTCTTTTCTACACTGTAATTGCATTAATATACCACTTTATTTTAGCGGTATGGTTCTTTAAACTTATCTTTTGCTTTCCAGCTTGGTTCATGACGTCGATTATCGCCAGTCTTCTCCCCATTACAGTCATGTTCGTATGCGCCTGTGTTCTGCTCATCGAGTCTTTTTTTCTGGTGAAGCAAGGTGTGAATGGATGATGGTTGTTCATGAAATGTGAAACTGTGAGAAAAATGAAAATACATTTCATTATATTTCACAATTGTTCATGAAATATAAAGTTGTGAAAAAAAAAGATATTTCATTTTATTTCACAATTTTATATATGGAATAATATTGCAATATGATACATGATTTACAGTATGATATACTGAGTTTTACAATATGACATTACAAAGTAACAATGTGATGCTGTATGTAGTACGGGGTATTAAGGAATGAGGTTATAATATGTTGTAAATAACTAGTTATAAGCCAAGCTTAAACCATTTATCGATTAGTATCAACCAAATAATGAATGATTATAATGTCACTGTTAAATTGATCAAGAAAAAACTTTTTTATATTCTTTACTAGCTTATTTTGTACTATTTTGTATATTGTAAAATAGTTACAATGGAAATGAAAACACAATTATTTCTGTTTACAAGATTTTTTACAAAATTTAAAGAAGTTTTAAATGTAAAGGATTTAAACTTATTAGCTGAATTAACGCAAATTCTTTTACAATGTTGTTGTAATAATAATGTACTCTGCAATTCAGAACGTTGACTCGATACAATGTTTATCCAATCGAACAGGACATAAAAACACAACAATGTGTGAAGCAGCAGTTTTAAATTTGAATATTTTATTAAAGAAAGACAATTATGGAATACTAACAATCAATCTTTATGACTGTCGATACCACACACAAGAGCATGTTTAATTCATGTACATGTACAAACAATTTCTAAAAGACAGTTGGCTACTGGTAAAAAAAAAATGTGGAAGAAAAAGCTTATCCAAAATCTTTCTGAAGACAAATTCTATGGTCGATACATTAGCGATTTTGAAAATAACATCAAATTCCATAATTAATTATCAAATCCTTATTCTCATTCTTAATTACTACGTTTTTTGAGAACATGTCAAAGAGGACATGAAGGGTAGGACTGGTTGGCAGGGGGTTGATAATTCCTCTTTTAATATTTTAAGAGGTCCGTGTTTGCTCTGCTAAAAAATTACACTATTTAAAATAAAGTGAACTTTTGTGCATTAGAACTTTTCGCTATCTTCATATTATACAAATTTTTTGTATTAAAAATTGTAGACACGATACATAACTGTGTTTAATTGATACTTTTAACCAACATACCAAGATGAAGAACGTGTCGACTTGCAACCATGTAATAATGAATTAAATATATAATATATGTATGTCAATTTGTACTTAGAGTAGTCACAAAGTTAATGTTGATTATCTCAATATTCATTGTTGCTTAATTAACTTATAACTTGCCCCAACTCTTCTCTCAATTTTCGCCTTAGAGATACGTGCTTATTTTAAGGTAAATTCTTGTCTATTATATAATAAATATAAATTGGGATAAACCAAAAGCTAGTACTTAATCGATAACATAGGATAAAAATAGAGAAAGAAAGATTAAGTGCATGGACAATGAAAAAAATTGTATGAATAATATATTTTAGCAATTGTATGCATAATTTGTGATAGTTGCTAACAAGATAATTAAGGTTTAAATCAATAAAGGATATGGAGATAACGAACAGTATTCAATATCAAATTCCATAAAACAATACAAAATAGGAGCAGAGCAAACACGGACCTCCGAAACATCAGAGGTGGGATCAGGTGCCATCGAGGAGTGAGCATCCCCTGCTGACCGGTCACACCCGCCGTGTGCTCCTTGTCATGATCGGGACATAACGGAAAAATCCGTCGTCAATTCAGTGTACAAATAATGGACTAATAATTAGTATGAAAAACGTCAGTCAGCATTTGACTCAACGATAAATTGTATTTGCTGACAATGTCATTGTATCGATCATCGAACTTACGAAATGATGACTTTGAACGAGACTGCTGATTTGATGAGGACAACTAAGTAAACAATCGGAGTGTATGCTGTTATTATCTTGGAATATAAACAAAGAAAAGTTCTGAAGGAAGTCAAACTAAAATTCAAAGTTCACCTTGTAGACTTTTGAGAGAGATCTTCGACACTAAATTAGGGATGTAGATGCGCTTTCGCTACGATTCCGGCTGTTCAGTTTTATGCAAAGGAAAATAGATTCTTCACTCTTCCACAGACCATAATAGATTACTGTCAGTGTTCTAAGAAAATCTTCATATTTGTTCCATTTTTTACACATGAGTAGAATTTTACGGCAGATTGAATATTTAAACATTCAATAGCCAATGGCTTTGTTTACCAGCTTGTTTTACAAGTTGAGAAATGTATACCCATGACTCTCATCTGTATAATAGATAGAAAAGGACATAATTAGGCATCTGTCAGGTACCTTGTGTTAAATAAACTGAACGGTAAATTAAAAGTTTAGCTCTTTGATATAATAGAAAACTGCTTCTTCAATAAAAAAGGAACTCGGAAATTTTCACTTTTTATGGCTGGTCATCAGCAAAGATTTTTAAAAGCACTCTGATACTACATATAAGTACTCTGATGATGAAAACATACGACTTTTCAACTTTATACACAACCATTCCACACGATAAATTAAAGTCCAGGCTTTCTGATATAATGGACAGCTGCTTTTTTAAAAAATAAAAATAGAACTCGTAAATTCATTTACCTTGTCATTGGTCATTTGCAAAATTATTTTGTTAAAAACATTCTGCTTGTACACACAAGTACTCTAAAGTTGACATCTGATTGACAATATCTATGTGTTTTTTGGAGACCAGGTATTTTATTTTATATTTTACTTGAAAAAGGCATTAATGGTAATCTAACAACCAAGCTATATGATAAACGTGATGACTTTAACTTTAGAATCGTCAACTTCCCTTACTTATTCAGCATAATACGTTCATCACCTGCATATGGAGTTGATTCGATACAAAAGAGCATGTTCTACGTATGAACAATTTCTGAAACGAGGTAAATTTTTGACAACCAAGATGATGAAACAAGAACATCAGCAGTCTCGTTTGAAGTCATCATTTTGTAAGTTCTATGGTCGATACAATGACCTTGTCAGCATATACAATTTATCATTGAGTCAAATGCTGAACGAAGTTTTTTATACCTATTGTTAGTCAATTATTTATACACTGAATTGATGACAGATTCTTCTTTTAGCCTTTAACTCGACATTCAGAAAAATCCGCGACGTTTTATTTATAAATATTTACATTCAGTGTAATTTTCCTTATGAAATCCATTAGAAATCCACGACGTTCAAATTTCTATAACACGCGCGAAACCTTGTCACCGCGTGTTAGAATACACTGTAGGAACTATATGCATTTTCAATACTCTTGGAACACCAAAATGTAAAATGTTTTATTTCAATTTAATGAAAAACTATAACCCTGAAAATTAACGTAAAAATTAACGTAATGTGCATTAAGAATTAATTTGTCACTTTTTCCCTCGTTATTTAACTTTGCAACATCATTTAACATCATTTGACATCACAAACGGCATCTATTAACCACGGCAGTTTTGAAGGGCGCCAAATTCACATTTAAGATTAACGAAATAAGCAATTATGAAGAAGGACAATTAGAGAATGTAAATATAAGCATTGAATTCATATTTTTAGATGTCTTCGGTCCTATATAACACACCTGGCCGTGCCGACAAATTATCATACCGCGCTAACGCGCTGTATTCAATTTGTCGGCACGGCCAGGTGTGTTATAGGACCGAAGACGTCCAAAAATATGAATTCAATGCTTAAATAGTTACTTGTAATTCCATTTACATGTCGCCTTTATATATATTCCTGTGAATCTGAAATAATATAAAAAGGTGAAGATACGTAATGAAGAGTGATCAATTAAAAAAAAGTATACAATATACTAATATAAACACGGATCTCGAGGAAATTTAAGTATTGATATCAGGTGCGTAGGAGGAGTAAACATCCCCTTTCGACCAGTTCTCTCCCTCGCGAGCCTTATATATTGGTTGGGTAGACATACATGTATCCCTTTGTTTTCAGTGCAGTATAAAGCAAAACCCTCACAATTGGTATTAAACAAGTTAGTCAAAAAACGAACAAATGATGGATCATATTGCTAACAAGGTTATCATAAACCACCATAAAAATTTCGAAATGCTGAGTTTAAATGAAGTTGTTTAAATCCATGTAACATCAACTTATTAGTTAGTAGCATGCCTCGCTGAAAAATTGATCGTACTTTGAGTAAACTCCTGAATAACAAATAATTTGGTAGACATATCTGTTTCAGACAGGGGTATTCTAGGTCGTTTATTGCTACCTATCAACAAAACTTCATGAAAAGTGTATTTATGTATATAAAGGAATTTATGGGATCTAAATGCTCAAAGTTTTTGTATTTTGATTTACTAATAATGTGTATGAATGTTTGGGTCTTGAGGGGTTTTTCCGGGTTATAGTTTCCAAGCACCCTCTATTGACGGCTATTATCCTAACCCATATTCATAATACCACTTGGCTCCAAAAAACGTGGTTTGAAAATTTTACCCTCCTCCACCCCCTCAAACCTCCATGCACATTTTTATTATTGTTCAGATTACTGATTTTCTTGTGTTGAAGATGTGGGATATTTTTTGCACCCCACCTTCTGCTGCATTCTGAAATTGTAAAATTTTTCATTTTATTTGGCATTTGTAATGTAATAAATGCTCTATTCACAAACACTCGCTTTATCATTTTAATGGCTGCAGAACAGAGCTGCAAATGTGCTTCAGGTACATGTACATACGAACTGAGTTGTTCATTATTGCCCGCATTTAAGAGCATATAAAGGTGGAAAAATTTAATGTTTATCCTTTAGTTATGTGGCAATAATCCTTATCACCTGCATATGGGATTTATGTTTCACAGTTGACTCGAAAAGTAAGAGCATGTTCTACCAACGAACTATTTCTTAAACGAGACAAGTAATCGAAAAACAAGGTGAGGAAACAAGATTATCAACATTCATTGTCAGCATTTCGCAAGTTTTATGGTCAATACACAATGACGTTGTCTAGAAATAACATCTTTTAGTAAGTGGAATGCCGACCGTTTTCCTTAGGTCGTTCTTTACACACTGAATTGTCTACCAGTTTTTCTGTTTGCCCAGTCATGACAACGAGCCTGCGGCGGATGGTTCTGGTCGACAGGGGATGATCACTCCTTCGTGACACCTCTTATATCTTTTGAGGTCCGTTTTCTCTGTTCCCGATTTGCATTATTTTAATGGACTTTTAGGCTTCTTGCTGTTCGGTATCTCCATATGTCTTTCCATGGTCGTTATAATGACCTTGGTAAAAGATACAACTAATAATTGCTTCGTATTTGACTTAATTCATAACACCAATTGTTAGGCCTTTGCTTTTATACCTAAATT